GTTAAGCGCAGCGATCCTGGTGTGAGTTCAACTAGGTACAGTCCGATAGCAAAATGCCACATGCGATCTCCCTGTAAAAAATAATTTCACACAGTGATAACCCACCAAGTGTACCCAACAATATGCAAACAAAATATCATAGTCTACAGTTTCTTTAGTTTCACCACCAAATTAATTTTCTTAAAAAATGGTAAAATATTATGTGTTCTTTGAATTACTACCAAAGCAAATTGGGATCCCCCAATTTAATCAGTGGAATCCCAATTTCTTGAACCTCCACGGGAAACACAAATTGGTTCGAGAAAGCAGGAGTTTGAGAAATTGGGGGTGAAATTACAAGTGAAGCAAATCCAAGGGAAACAAGGTTTGGTTCGAAATATCGGGAGGTTTGAGAAACTGAGGGTTCGAGAAATTGGGTCCCACTGTATTTTTGTTTAATCACTTCTCTTGTCTCCTTTGTAAATTCTATTGATATTGTAAGGGGAAATTCTGTCTTGGTCACTCATGGGAGCTAAAGAGTTAAGATATGCTTTGAAGAGTTGATAGGAACATACATGATTAAACATTCATTGCATATCAAGTAAAGTTGTCGTATTTTTTCCTATAATAAAAGCCAATCTAGAAAGATTTCCATTTAACCCCTACATTAATTATGCATTCCACTTCATAAAGACTAAATGCAAAGGTTCTTGGCAACACTTTATGCATAATTAATGCCTGGGGTTTTATGGAAATCTTGCCGCCAATCTGCTTCCTCATAACCAATACACAAGTTACTTAACAAATTTGTCTGTCCCAGAAATGAGACTACCAGATAACGAGATTTAAATCTTGATAACAATACCGTGCATCCTGGTAGAGTAAATTTTAAAAATAAGCGTCAGATTTCATGATATGGCTATATTCCATATATTTGCTTTCCTAGCTGTTATTAATCTAAGATATTTGCTTTTCGCCTGTTATAAATATAATGAAAATTAATTTAGTGCAATACCTGAAAAGACAAAAGGATGAATCCGGAATGATTTAGTGATCAAACCGCGAGGAAATTAAGTTTAATTAGCGAAAAACTAAGATAAATTAACATGAAGCTGTTCACTTACCCAAGCGGAAAACAAATGACTGATACAGACAAGATTTAGGGGCGAAATTTTACAACATTTCGCTGTAGCTGGTCTCCCTACGGATAGGACGTTAAAATGAAAGCTGTTTCAAAATGGGATAACTCTGCGTAGATAACTTTGGAAATGTTTCGATGACTTAACTGAGCAAGAGAACGTGAGGTGAAGAACCCAGGAGCTAATTCTGCTGCACCAAAATATGAACTGGAATATTGTTTGCGTTGCAAAATGTGTCATTTGACATCAGCGCTAGCCTCCAACTTACCAGCTGGCGTATTCCTCATTCGCAATTCATCCGTTCTCTCGCTGGATTCTATCAGCGATTCTTCACTCTGTCCTTGCTCCATTTCTCGTCGGGATACAGCAAATATTGCAAAGTACAGCAGTGGTATTTACTTGCGTAACTGCTCTGTCGGGCGTTAAGATTTGCTTCTCGATCGAGGGCACTCGGACTCACTCGGACGACACTCGGACACAAGTCTTGGTAGCGTGATTCTTTTTTTTCCATACTTTTCAGCGGTATTGGAACTAGTACATAGATGAGTGGTGTAGCGATCATATAGTGTAACTAGTTCAAACTATGGAAATTGATTGGAGAGTTCGAGAGGAAACTGCAGGATGAGACGAAACGCATAGTACTCAAGGATTTTAAGAACACTGTGTGCCGGCACTTGATATAAAAGAAGGACAACGATGTTATGAAATAGCCGAAAGAATAAAAATATTTCATATTTCTCTAGTCTTGTTTGTGGAGCTGTGAAAATAATTACCTCTCATCAACTGAAAGGGAAAAACGACGATTTGCGATCGAGAGCAGCGCGTAGGTAAGTTATTCGTTGTATCTCTACTGTATATCTGAAGGGTTTTGAAAACGATTTCTAGTCACGCAGAATGACTTTAAGTAACGGAACTCTCCTTTTTTATCCGCCACTGAAACTATGGTAACAAAGTAAGGCTGTAAATAGTTATGGTGTCTAACAGTCAACAGAAAACTTAGTTGTCCATGATGAAATGAATCTTATCTATTACGGTTTGATATGTATGCTTCTGACAGAGACTAGACGCAATGATGCTGAGGTAGAAATATTTCTGAATGAACGATTTTCGTCTAACACGGTTTATCCAATATTGCCGAGTATTCAACAGCATATAAACTCGCAGCCTTATCTGCATGACTGGGTGAATTGTTCAGCTCATTTTGATGTCTGCAGGTGGTTTTTACATTTCATCGTGAATCTTCCTATTCGAGCAGAACGGTGAGAGGAAAATGAAATACCATCTCAAAGTAAAACCATTATAAAGGGCCTTTCTATCGTCAATTGCGCATTCTGTCTTTATTTTTTGCTTCTATTGCTTTGATCACATTTTTACTAAGGAATAAACATCATTTGGTGATTAATTTTTAATCACAGCATTGAAAATATTTGTCCCACTTAATTAATATCATGACTTGAGGCTTCAAGACTAAATAAACAAAAAGAGGACAAGTTCTTTCTCTATAAAATCTGAAACTGACTGGGAGCGGAACGAAAAGGAAGGAACTTACCAATTTTAAAAGAAACAAGGCGACATCAGTCGTTATGAATGAAACAAACGTACGAATCACAACGCTTGCTTTGGAGCTGAAAACGAGAGAGCGTTGGTTGGTTGGAATAGAGTCCTTGGCATGGCTTGGAGTTATAGTGGCCGCTTTTTTGGGAAATGTCTTGTTGACGCTGGCAGTCTTAAAAACAAGTACAATACGATCTCGACATAATTATTACCTAATGTCGCTGGCTGCTACGGATGTTCTTAATTCTGCTGCCATTATGCCTTACACGCTTACTGTTCTTATCAGAGGAAAATGGCCTTTTGGAAATTTTATTTGTCAGCTGCAAGGAAGTCTGACTTCGATTTGCGCCACTGTTTCCTTGCTTACAATGGCGCTGATTTCCTTTAACCGTTATGTGAAAATAGTCAGGTCTGTTCAGCTTTACCAGAAAATTTTCACCAGACGAAATATTCTGATATCCATCGCCATGGCATGGGGAATAACTACTTTTTTAGTGCTTGTTCCATTTTTATTTTACAAAACTATGTTCCGTTTTCATCCTGGGAAGTGCTTATGTTGGTTACAGCTAAGTCTAAAAGATGGACCTACTTTGTATGGTCTAGTCATTTATTCGTCAACGGTTTGTTTAATATTTTCTTCAATCTCTTTTAGCTACTACAAAGTATTTCGAAAAATCCGCGCGCACTATGCTCAAGTTGCAAACTCTGCAATTCACAGTGAAAACTCTACGGCCTTCGCCGAGGAAGTGAAAATAACAGCGATGTTGTTTGTCACTATACTGGCGTTTTTCATTTGTTGGGTCCCCTCTTTTGTTATCGACTTTTACGAGGCTATTGCAGGATATTACATCCTTCCAAGACAGTTGTATTTTTTCAATGTATTCACTTATACATCCAGCAGCGCTATCAATCCTCTTATTTATGGTGTAATGAATAGGGATTTTCGAGGGGCCTACAAGAGAATATTGTGTTGCAAAGAAAATTAACACTTCAGTATCACCCCTATATCACGGAGCCATCCTATCAAATTTTTCGCTTTGCACCACCTCAGACCCTCTCGCAAAACGAGTTGGTCGCTCGAGCAATTCAAGAAAAGTGAGAAGAAAGAAGAGAACTTACTGAAAGAAGATCTCAATTGGGTGACAGCTTTTACAGTGAACAGTTAAAATTTTGGCCGATTTACGGCAAGAAGTTTTTTAAGGCTAAATTTTGTATTTGAGTAACGGTTAAGATTTGTCAATTTTTACACTCAACGGTTGATTTTTTTTGGCCGTTTTATGGCTAACGGTTAAGCTCATGCAGACTCTCATGACAGATCAGTCTGGATGTGTGTTTTCGCTCTCCAGTTGTTTACTTAAGCCCAAACGTTTTAATACGACAATGCAAGCCAGAAAATGGGTCTAGACAATTTTTATTCAAAATAAGGCCCTTATCACCTGCTCTTGATCAACTTTGAGAATATTCATTTTGTCCATTATTGACATTTTTCTTGTTCAGACAATATATCCGCAAATTTTCTGTTTGTTTTTGTATTGGGGAAGTTGAACACATCAAATTTTAGCTGTTTATATAGCCTACTGTTTATATAGACCAGTAACTTGCGTAGAAAATGCATATTAACTGTATTTGTTCTAAAATTTGCAAAACAACACCTAGCAAATCTCTTCTCTCATTGTATTATTCTTAGTCAATCCATATCTTCAACCTTACTGCAAAGTAGTATGGGGTTCTATATATCCACAAACCTAAAAAGAATCCCACAGGGATCAACGAACGCTTTTCATTCCACTAATTTATTCTTGTTTTTCTCGTTGCATGTTCCCACCAGAAACGTAGCTCCATTTTCCACCTTTAAAAGCACGCACAACCCACAATTCCTCTATTCGCTCCGACGAAGGGCTAACGCTCGAAACGTCAGCTTTTCTAATCGTTACGGTGGCCAATTTACCATTTCAACTTTGTTGATATATCCTAAAAAGAATCTACTAGATATGCTGATTTACACCGTCCCCAAGTCTGTAGAACAAAAAAAAAAAAACCCACGATTTTATACCAAGGACCAAAATTGTGGAACTCTCTGCCTCGTTCAATAATTGAACCAATGAGATCTTTCAAACGGTTATCTAAATCCTATTTAATTAATTTCAAAATACTCGATGAATTTTATAGCAAAGTTATTAATATTAAGGAATCAAGTTTTCTTCGTACTTTACACTTGTTAAATTACGTTCTACGTTCTGAGTTGAGCTTAAACTCTAATTTAAAGAGGGAGCCTAACCTATAAGCCTTTTCCTTTTCTATTCTATATTTCGAATTTCCAGGTATAATCTATGTATAATCTATGTAAATTAGCTTTGTTCCTATTTGAATATATCATAAAGGCAAATGATAGATAAATAAAAACTAGTAAGTAAATCAGTCTTCTGAAGCTCAAAGAATTCATCTGAGCCTCCGTAATGTGTTATTCGATTCTTCATGATGCACACTAAAAGTGGAATGAAAGCTGTACCCAGTATTTCCGTGTTATATTAGTCATCATAGGCTCTTGAAGACAAAAATAGAGTGTTCACAATCTGATTCTGATAATCAGGTCGATGGGTTGGTTTTTTTGTCAGCCGTTAAAATCGAAATAAATCCTCTCTCGAGAAGAGTTCTCAAGAGTATCAAATAAAATCACCGATGTGAATCTGTAGAAGTAACATTGAGTATGATGATCGAAGAAAAGAGAAAAACTTGCACATACGAAATTTGGACGAATTTAAAGTTCAGAATCGTGATCTGTCACCAATAAAGAGAGAATTATATTCGATTTCTTATAACCATTTGTTACTCACGTACATATATTCGATTTTACATTGACCAGAGAAAATCAATCAACAATTCGTTTGAAGGAGAGCCGTTCGATTTCTAGTGCCAAGGTCCTGCCAGCTGGAAGAACTGATAGGCTCTGGAAACGAGAGTGGTGAAAAGTAAATCGATCGTAATATATCAATGTAACAGCTTTAACTTTCGGTCAAAGTTTTTCGCACTGCACTCGCTCGACGGAAAATGCAAAGATAAGTCACAGGTTAAAAATAATAAATTAGGATTAGAGGTCTGGACTGACAGCTGATACAGCTGATTTGACGCAAATTTAAAAATATAATGGATATTTACTTAAAACAACGATCTCGTACGGCTGCATCAATGTGACTTTACTTTGACATTTCCGATAGCTTCGTTAAATTACGAGTGACGTCCTATGTAAGATATATACTCTCGTGATTATAGCTGGCTCCACAAACTTGTACGATCGATAAAATCCTGTGTTCTGATTGGCTATTCGAGCGGGCAAGATGGGTCCTTCTGCCCGCACGCGGTCACGGGACTTCCCCGCCTGATCATGCTAAGGAAAAAAATCCTTTACGCGACTTTACATGATCTTCAACTCCGCAGATTTTTTGCCTTGTTTTGTTTTTTCTTTCTTTATCACAAGAAAAAAATAGTTTCTAGCACTTTTCAGACCAGTAGAATCCCAAAACGCGCCAGTTTAGGACAATAAAAGGCAAGCAAACTGCGTCATATCAGTCTCAATTTGTAATTCTTTGTAGTAACCTTTTTGCTTTCTAATGAGTCCTTTATTGAACTGGCTTGCTCGGTGAAGATGGCAGCATATGCTGTCCAGAAATATCTTGAAAAACTGAAACAGCTTGAGGAATGCTAACTTATTCTCAGTGTCTGCAGTACAGAACTCTCTTGTATCCTTCTCGGAACTCCCTATTCATCAGTCCATAAATAACGGGATTCAAGGGGCTACTACTTTGAAAAGTAAAAACGTTTAGCAAATAAAGCTGTCGTGTAAACATGAACTGGTCATCACTAAACAGTTCGTAAAAATCAATTATTACCGAAGGACTGCAACTGATACATATTGCTATAAGAGTGACAAAAAGCATGGTGGTAATTCTAACTTCTTCAGCAAAAGCTGCGGTTTCTCTGTTTTGAAGAGAAGAGTTTCTTACTTGCAAAAAATGTGCGCGGACTTTGCGAAGCACTTTATAGTAACAATAAAAGATCAGTGAAAATACTACGGAGGTTAAAATGACATAGAGAATAGTGAAATATATACCTAACTTATTTGTGACATTTAGATGTTTAAAGAAACAAACTCTTTCCTGGATGAAAAGAAAATGCCGTCGTATCGAGAAGAAACACGGAGGACGACAAGAAAACAGAGCTACTCCAAGAAATGGCAATGGATATCCAAACATTTCGTGGAGTAAAAATTTTCTGGTAAAGACTCGCCGACCGGGTGATCTTCACATAGCGATTGAAAGCAATCAAACTCAATGTCAACAACGATACTCCAGTACAAATCGTCCAAAAAGATCCCTGTAGCTGGCACACGAAGTCTTCAAATGGCCACGTTCCTGTTAATAGGGCCACAAGAGTAAATGGCATACAAGTAATAGCATTAAGGATATCTGTAACGGCAAGTGACACCAAAAAGTAATTTTGATGATTTCGTAATGTCCCCGTTTTGTAGATAGCTAAGGTCAACACTATATTTCCTAGAAGTGCAGTCAATATGACTGCGAGATAGGCCGCGGACTCGATTCCAACCAACCAACGCTCTCTATCTTTGAGCGACAGAAAAAGCTGGTCCATTCTGTACTTTGTGCTGTCATTCATCTTCTTTTTTAATGGCTTCCCTCAAGGACAGTTTTCATTTACACCCTTAAAGAAACGATTAAAGGAAATTCTCCGCGATTCCCTTTGCCTTCGCTGTGGCTAAACAGAAAAACTAAACCCAACTTAATGAAATAAAAAGTCCGGCCAAAGTCATAAATAATTGATGATTTTAAATTAAAGCGAAAGGCCTCCAACAACGGAGACAAGATAAGCATAAGAAAACAAACCAATTCTCAAAGTATGTTGTCTGTATTAATTTACAACGCGTGGTCCCAAAAAAAAAAAAAAAAAAACCAATGTTTCAAATTATAAAATACGTTCCTTATCTTCTGAATGAAGAAAGGGATCATGGAGTGAACAAACCGGCGACGAAGCTGAGATTTCTCATGAACAACTGATAACAGTATCCCAGGTAAACACACAATGACAGCTACGAATTTTTTTTTTTAACAAAAACGACATATGAATCTACTCCGAGTCTTATCAAATGTCTCACTCTATTTAATTCAGCAGACACCTGCCTGCAATGATTGTGCATTTGGTCAAAATACTTCATTTATGAAATGCTGTACATCCCGCGCGAAAACTGAAGCTCAAAACACAAACAGACTTTACTCGAACAAAATTATCTGCTTGACCCACTAATTTAGGTGTTCCATCACCCAAGTTAATCAATTGTTACTTTACAATATACCATTACCATAACAATATACCATATTTACAATATACCATAACAATATACCGTTGGTTCTTTCTTACAAAATCATATGACAATTAACTTGCTGAGGTCATCCTATCTGCTATTTTTAATTTTCCCTTGAAAGTGATAACATCAAATACAGCTCCATGCATAACAATTAACACTATGCGTCTACTCTATGAGATTTGAACAAAACTTTATTGAAAACTGATCTGTCAGTCCAACATATTGGAAGTGTTAATACTGGCCAAGAGAGTGTTGCTCTGCAGTTATCGTGTTTGGCCAGCTTCAGCTTTGAATAAGGAATACTGATATTGCAGATCAGCAAACCACTGTTTTCGGAAAGCACTTGAAATGTCTGTGTTCTGCAGAGGCAAAAAACAGAATTTTGCGTGATGAGCTGATTTATGTTAAAAAAAGAAAACTAAACAAACACTACGAATTATTACTCCGAGCGGTTTTACTCCGTTTTCATTGGCCAAAACACCAGCACGCGACCTGTAAATAACAGCTTACAAATAAACGGTCTACTCATGCGTAACACCGTCTAATTGTGTTACGTAGCAAACACAATTCTGCTCATGCGTGGTTCTTCCCACGCACCTTCACGGCGAATGTCTGATGGCTTCTCTTCGCTATCAGATTGAGAGTGTTCCCCAAGTTTATTGGGAAAGAAACTCGATAATGGAATGATAAAACAATAATTGAACTCGTTTGTCGCAAAATATTGTGATTTTTCAGTGTTTCATGTTTCGCAAATTAATAATTTCAATAACTTCAGCTTCGGCAAAAAATAGATTTACTCGTCAACAACACAATACAGTACTGTTTATCACTAACTCAGAACAATTGTGAAGTCTATTTCACAGAAAGATGTTCCGATTACTTAGAAGTTTTCAAGTTAGTGAAAATCTTCTCTACGGTCAGTGGCCCGTTCCCCTCTAGCTTGTATTAAATAATCTTGGTACCGGTCTATCCAAACAAATTCTACAGGAGAAAAGGAGAGGGGACTGAGGAGAGTTAGGTCCACTCGTTCTAGTCCTCTGATTCGTTTGTTTCGCCGCGCCTTTGAATTATGTTTTAAAAGATGTGCACTAATGACATACCAAGACACGCTGAACCAAAAGATGCACAGGGTCGGGTGACTGAAGGAGAAGTTTTCGCACTTTACAGCTGAACAGCTTGGTGAATATACCAGTGCAGGTCTCCCTTACAGACTCTGAATTATCTAATGTAGAAATTAAGAGAATTTCATCGATTAAAGGCCAATAAATCCTCTAGTGGACGAAAAATTAGCCATCTCTCTAAGGTTACAAATAGACCGAGTGTGATTATGGCTCTATCGCCGTGTTTTAAATTCAACACCACCACTGCAGAAAATCACTTGTCAATTGGGAATGTATGCGTGAAAAAAAATGGCAGGAAAATCGTAGTTCCGCGGTCACTCTTGCCGTTCAAGGTTCACGTAAACTCAGTGCTAAACCTCTCTAATAACGAGGGCCTGCCCACAGGCTACCCCAACTCTCATCGTTTCATACCTGAAAGGACTGCCAACAAATGCGACAATATCTCCAGCATCATTTGTGGCACCGCACATAACAACTCAACAGCTTCGACAAACAAATCTTCGCTCCTCAGTTTCTGCTCACTGATTGAAAAAGATTTGCTCGTGGAGTGCTTTAAACCAACCAGCGTCAATTGTGTTAGAGCTTGAAACAAGAAGGTTGGGAAAAGGCAATTTCTGTCTGTAGAGCCGGTGTCTGAAGTTAACTGCACCACACTAGAAATAAGATAGATTTAAAGCGCTGGTGATGAAAACACAAACAAAAAAAAACCAATTCATAACACATACAATATCAACGATAGAAGGGTGAACTTTGAATAGGACCTCTGGTCAAGGGTAGGGCGAAGAAGAGAGCGGGAAGGAAAAAAACGGCGGAGGAACTGGTATGAGTGGGGAGAAGGGCTAGGGATGGGAGGGGATAGGTGCGCAATCCTCTTCTGGCACGTGACAGGACCTTCATGTTCGCCTTGCGCTTGCTTCTATATAAGTCATTTTGCCGTTTGTTTGCAGCGCATCTGGAAAGCGCAAAAAACCACGGTTTTTTCTCAGGTTAGATTATTGGAGAGGAAGAGTATGAATTCTTTCCCAGACATCGATTCCAGACGAGAAAAATTATTCTCGTACATGTCCTTACTGACAAGGAGAATGTTTGCGGTCTAGAAAAGCAATTTTTACATGTTATGATATACGTTGTAGTAATTGTGAACTAAAGAGTAGGTAACAAATAGCACATCAAAATTACATTTCGTTCAGGTTTAAACACTTACCATCTCACTACGCACAGAATACTGTGTACTGCACTCAAGGGGAGAACTTTATAATCAATCTGAAGAAAAATGAGTAAACCATAAGACATAAAACTTGATCCCAACGCTTTTTCTTTCAATATGAAGCAGAGCCCACGCGCGATTCCTCCATTAACTATGTTTCAACACACAATTGAGATGCTCTCTAATAGAATGTGATAATAAAAAAAAGAAATGTACAATACTGTAAGCGTTACAGCGTTTTTCTGGACGCAATCTTCATTCAAACATCACACGTTTTAATCAATCAAGAGAAAACATAGAATCATACTAGAAGCTGTTCCAATTCTTGGCTCATCAGTGGCAGCAATATGTTGAATGGACATTGTCTGAAACACTGGAAAACTCCCTGAAATTGCAAAGAGCAAAATGTAAATTAACATTGACCCTTTCCACCCTAACTTCAATATCCAAACTCTCCATACTGTTCTCTATACATTTTCTTAAGGTGCAACTAAAGAGAAATTCTTTAACAATCAAGAGCTTCTTTAATTTGTGATCATTTCCTTTATTCTCCTGACCTTAATGTGTGATTCAGGGGTGATATTGTAGGGAGAAATTAGATGCTGGTCACTGTTAGGGGTCAAAGGGTTATGGATGAATTGTAAAAGGTAAAGAATTTCAAGTTACAACATACCTGTAGTTTCCTTTGTTGGCTCTGCCACATGTTAGCTTCATCAATCTCTTTTCCTTTATTTTCTTCTAAAATAGAAAAGTTGCAGCCTCTAAAGAGCAACAAGGAATCATTCTAAATGGCTGATATGTGTAAAATAATAAATACTCAGTTTGTTTTTGTCAATTGATGGAGGGCTTTTCAATTAAGTGTTGTAAAACCAAAGTGAAACTTATTATAACAGCCAATCAGGAGAAAAGAAAATACCTTCATGAGCCAATGAGAACTTAAGTAAACCAAATCAAACTGCCTAAAGTGCAGGAAAACTCTGGCCACCAAGTTGTGATTGGTTTAAGCTTTGAATCTGATTGATTGAGAGTGGCGCGAGGTTTCTGGACCAATCAAAGAGTGGAGCACGGCAAAATCAGTGCAATCTCGGATTACTTTCAACTCTCAATTGAAAATTGTGATGAGACAGCAAATTCTCCTTACATGAAATCAGTGACCTTACAAGTTTCGGCCTGTTTATTCACATCTTGATAATCGCTTAGTTGGTCTTTGGAATATCCTGCCAAGACAACAACAAGAGCAAGTTGTTCTACTTGTGCTAGATCATAGCCAGGCCACAGTATTAGACAAAACATGGTAAGATAAAGTCGAACTCTAAGCTTTAGAACAATCTTGATATCAGAATCTCTTGACAAGCCCCCCCCCCCCTTCTAAGTATGCTATGCTGAATGAGGCATAACAATTGAAGGATAGCCAGGGAAGGGGGGGTAGAAGTTATCACAACTGGTTCTGCAGGGCAGGAGGTCTTAATCAAACCAAATTAATACATACCTATTGCTATACCAAGAAGGACACTCAAGTACACTTCAAAGGTGAATGCAGCAGGGTGAGACACAGCTCCTTCATAACTTGGAGACCTGTATATTTGTACACAAATGTGAACTGTTTAAATCAATTATCAAAACTAAAAACTAAATTAAATGAGAATCTATCAACAAGTCTGAAAAAGGCAGTGGACTAGTGGTTGACAATTACTACACTCCAGATCTACAGGTTTGAGTTAAAGTGAAAGCCTCTTCATGGTGTTGTCTTGGGAAAACTGCTGTCTAAATCAAAATAATGTTGTAAAGTATGTTGAATAGTCAAAGAAATGTTGTTCCATGCTTACAAACCTGTAAAGCAAGACTTGGAGAAGGTATTGAATTATTGCCACACCAACTTGGCCTCCATGACAGCATGATACAATGTTTGCCAACAAGCGATCATCCAGTGATGGGAGGTGAAACAACAGCTCTACTGCCAAGCGTTGAATCTCATCGCTCAGTTTTGAAAATGAGCCTCTGTCCTTGGCTAATTAGAAAATGCATGTAGGTTATGAGGTGAAACTATCTGTACCAGTTTCATGAGATTTTTAAAGGCTGGGGGCATCTTTAACCCTTAAACCACTAAAAGTGATAAGTAACCAATTTCTCCTTACAATACCAGCCCAGAATCACACATTAAAGTTACAAGAATAAAGGAAATGGTCCTTCTCTGAACTATACTCACTGTATAATCACATAACACAGTCAGAGATAATATTATGCATTGTCTTAACACTTACAGAAGAAACTGGCCAGCTGAGCCAACACTTTGTCATCTGATTGTAGGATACCTTGAACAACCGCCTTTTTCATGACTCTTAAAACAAGTTCTGTCAAGCCAGGGGTGGTATCCTTCAATTGTACTAACAGGCCAGGCAATCCAAGAAGCCATTTCTCAACAGGTTTATGTAACTCAAAAAGCCTGTCATGAAAGATTGTTTGATCGAATTACTTCAGCATGACATAAGAGAGGGAAATCACAAGAGACTGGTTACTGCAGAAAAGATGTTTAAAGAAATTCAGGTTTAGACTAGGATTGATGTAGCACCTCTCAGATAATACAGTGTACTTGGGTGTTACTATAAAGATAATCGAATGTTGCCACTCAATTTACATTCTTAACTCAGTTCATGAAACTAAATTGTCTTGAAATATTCTTCACTGACACAGCAGCACAGTTTCTTTAGAAACTTTATGCCCCTTTACCTTATCTGTATGTGTCCCAAAAATATGGCATTTACATAGTACAGTATGGTGGCCCAGAACTGCCATTAAAAATATTCAAATTTATAGGAATTTTTCTTTTTCAATTTCAATTTATTTCTCATTTTTCTTTTTAAAATAAAAGCAAGTGAAAGTAAAATGTAAAATAGAAATAAAATGAAACCAAAGATAAATGAAATCAAATCAAACTTAAATACTACCCGGCCGAGCGCTGCCACTAGTTTTTTTTTTTTTTTCGCGGTCTGAAAAACAAGTTTGTTCGTGGCCGAACACTGCCACATGGCCGAGGGCTGCCAAACAAACCCAGAATGCACTACCATCAAAAAGTTCATGAGAAGCAATTTCTGAGTCAAATAACTCATACCCATGTCCTTGTATGTCTAGCAGCATGAGTTTTTTGTCTGACTTTTCATAAGAAAAATGGGTTAGACATTGAGCCCTCTGACCCATAACATCTGTTTCCTCGACACAACAATCACAAGTATTGTTTAAGTACTTGGTAAACTGTCCATCAATAATCTCCTCGACAGTCACAAATTCTCCTTTATCATCTTCACCGTAGTAGATCTTTCTATACCTTAGAACCTCTCCAAATGCATGTTTTGCAATGATTTTTCATTCCAACTGGCGAGCAAAATTCCTTGCAAGAAGATGCATCTGAACCGCCTTTTGGGTGTGTTATTGGACAGTTTGCCCAATGTCATTTATTCCCTTCACAGCATCAGGAAGGTATCTTTTAATTACCCAGGTAGTCCCCTTAAACTGTGGGTGCTTTGTGGTTGCTTTGTATGCATTGCAAAACCCACTGTGAGCAAATGGCTCTTATTCTTCATTGAATTCGACAGTTATTATTATACAGCTCCTTTCCTTTAATTAATTTATGTGTTGTATCTCCTGCATCACACTTCTTCCCTCTTTTCACAGTCACTTTCTCTTTTAAGTTTTCCAGGCGGCATCAGCCATACTAGAATCTTGAAAGGCATCCTGCAAAGAATTCTGGGTTTGTTTGGCAGCCCTTGGCCATGTGGCAGCGTTCGGCCACGAAGAAATTTTTTTTTTCTGACCGCGAAAAAAAAAAAACAAAACTAGTGGCAGCACTCGATCAGGTAGTATTCAATTTTGATTTGATTTGATTTATCTTTGGTTTCATTTTATTTCTATTTTACATTTTACTTTCACTCGCTTTTATTTTAAAAAGAAAAATGAGAAATAAATCGAAATTGAAAAAAAAACAAAAKAAAAATAATTCCTATAAATTTGAATATTTTTAATGGCAGTTCTCGGCCACCATAGTACAACAACAAGCCAAATAAAAACTCACTTTGACATGTTCTCCTGGAAAACAAGACTTGCAAAGAAAGTAATCAACACTCTCTTGATCCCAGACTTAATGTGACTTGACTGATACAAACTGAACGTTGCATTGAGAAGTTCTCCTGGTTTGCTTGGAATACCCACTTTCATACAACTGTTGTGATATTGAAGAATTTGATCAGCAAAGGCAACCAAGCTCTCCACATGATCTGTCTGAAACTGTTGGCCTGCAGCGCCACCTGACACTTTTAACTCTAGGGATTCAATGACGAACTCTTCCAGCCTGTGGACTATAGCATGATAGTTCTTCTGCACAGCAGGGCCGTTCATCACAAAGAGCATCATGACTTCACAAATTTTCAGGTTTAGGGTTAACACAGATGCACTGGAGTTCTCTCCTGCAGCTTGCTGAGAAACCTTTTCTAGCTTTCTCCTTCCTCTCTTCAACATTGGTGCATCTGAGACTGAAAATGGAAAGAAACTCATCAAATGCTGATTGACATCTTTGAAATAAACATCCAGTAAGTTGTCTCCAGGTTTGTGCATTTCAGAGACTTCAGCATTTGTTTGTTTTTCCTGAGCTGCTTTCAAGACAATTTTAAGAATTTCTGTCACAGCTAACATGACATTAATAGACGAGGAAGACACCATACTGTTTGGTAGACCAGTTGTCATTTGAGCAGGGCTACACTCAATCCAACATTCCAGTAATAAAGGCACAATGACTTCCATGAAATCCTTTACCATCTGTCCATCTGTTAAAATATTGTTTTTACTTTCTGTGTTTAATGCTGTAGCTGCTGAGCTATTGTCAAAACTAAAGGGATGTAAAGTTGGTTCTTGAACTGAATGTTCTAAAACCTGGATTTGAGTTGGCTTTTTCTTGTCAAAATAAATTATTTGTTTTTTACATGGTAACTTAACCAGGCTTGCTGATGACAGTGGCGTGTCTTCTCGACTGGAACTGGAAGAAGATTCCAAGGCTTTCAACAATGCCAATAATTGTTGAAGAACTTTTAGACGTGACCTTAAGGAAGAAAGTTTCCCCTTTGGATTCACAGCAAGTCCTTTTCCCGCTTTATGCTGTAGTCTGTTGGACTGCTTTGTACCTGAAATGTTCTGATGTGAAATCATACTCACAAAGTTTTGAATCAGCTGTGAAGAGCTTCCAACCATGAGACTGGGAAAATAACGGAGACAAAGCTCAAGAAATCCAAGGGAGTCATGTTGTATGTCATCATAAATGTGCGTCATAGCACAACTTAAATGAGCAATCACTAGCGCAGAAAATGGTGCCATCTTTTCTTGTGAAACTAGTGGGAATATGAAACAGAGTAACAGTAGAAGAGACTGTCTGACTGAAGGGTCACTATCTGACATTTTCTCACAGACTTTTTTGATAACAATTCCCAGATTTTCTTGTAGGAGATTCTCATGATGGTGGAGGAGATCCTTAAGACCTCCTAGTGCTTCCTGCCTTGTATTCACACTATAATGACCCACTTGGGCAAGTAAATCCTATGAAATAAACAGAGGATAAACCAGGTTAAGAATTTTTTAACTTTAAGAACTTTAGAAACTTACGCCCTTTATCAAACCTCTAACTCCCAAGATCTGACTGCAGATTCTCACCTCTGGTTGCAACACCGATTTCATTGTAAATTGGTTATGGGAACTCAACTGTGACAGCCACCACAGGTTACCCAAACTTGTGACACCAACTTAAACATGTAAATGTCTATGCTACACAAATTCAAAATTGTTTCAGATATTTCGGTTAAGAAGCGACGTTCACATTTAAAAAGCCTAAGCGACCTTGGGCTACCTGTGCAGCCACGTGCGATGTCATCATAAGCCTGAACTCAGATGCGACCGAGCCCAGAGGATTTACACTATTGTACGCACTTATACCAAAGCATGATTTAAAGTCGAAATTCCTCTACCTTTAAGGTTTGATTTCTTTGATTTGTTGGTACATTGTCGAGTGTATGAAGCTGAGTTGGGATGAAGATCGCCCTTGATTTAAATGAAGAGTCTGTGGCATTATCCGCAGGTTTAAGCTTCTTTCCAACTTTAAACTTCACCTTCTGGAAGTCCTGTTCCTTAAGTTTCCTTTTCCTTTTATTTTTAGCCATGTTTCTTGGAGAATTGGAAAAATATAGCACATAAATGGCCTTTTGAGGTCCTTTAGAGGACGAAAAGTTTGGGGCAACTGCGACGCCAACGAATAACATAGCAGCGGTGTTAATTTTAACGCAAGCGTATAAGAAGACCTTCCTGTTTGAAGGTCTTGTGAAAGCGATATCTTCATGTAAGTTGCACTAAAGGAGTGATAGCGGGAACAAAGATGGAGTTGGTGTATTCTCGGAGAAGAGCTTTCATAATTTGATCATTTTGTTTCTGTTGAGGTATTGACTGTTTTATTTTGTACTTTGGCTATTTGTAAGTATTTTAAAGGTCGACTGGAAGGATTTATACAGCTTTTGTCCGAAAAATGTTAGTTGGACTTGTCGTGCTGTGAGTTAAGCTTAGAAGTTATGGATTCCAAAATGGAATAAAAGTGTACATAGATTTTCATCTCGATCAGATTCAAATGGTGTATTTCAACTATTTAAGTAGCTTCTAACTATTTTGGAGCCTTCTTTTGTGAATTTCTTGTCGCGAGGAAGACAGCACAATCATTTTGAATCACAAATATAATTCAAAGTTGTGTCTACGTGATATGTAAATGCCAAGTACGGCTGTAATTTATTGATCGTTGTCTTACTTCCAGTAACTCTTCATCATACATATAGGTTCGTGTAAGTGTGTAGGTTAAGAGAGTATTTATGAAGTGTTTTTGATCCACAACGAATAAGATTGTTACATGGTTGATTTCCAGTCGGTCACATTTCACGGGCGTCAGCTTTAATGCTAACAAAATTAATTCACTTAACCCTTTTGCTCCAAAAAGAAACCAAAAAGTGACTTATGATACACATACAATTTGATGCAGAAAGATGATGGGAAGATAGAAAGATTACAGCAAGGGGATATGATTTGCATTGATTTAACACAAAATTCTTAGAGGAGAAACTATGAGACATGTATGACAAACAATAAAGAGAAATAACATTTACAGTGGAGATCTTGGGAATGAAAGAGTGAAAACCATCATACTGTATGTTGAGAATTTCATGGCCTGTTAGTGGGTGTACTGAAGCAGTTGCTCCATATGCTCTAGTAAATCCTAAAACATAACATGTTTTATAATAGTGGAGCTTGCAGCATGCACAGTGTAGTCCCATAACTATACAAAATAGTAGTAGTAACCCATCAAGCCAAAAAAATTTGACTTATGACCACGGTACGGGCATCTGTACAAGGTGCTACTTTTAGCATGCACAGTCAACTGTACCGCAGGCATGCCAACGCCACGGTTTTAGTCTTGTATTAACGTGCACTTTATCCACAGTAGGAGCTTTAGTTTTGTTGCTGAGACGTACGGGAAAAAAAAGGTGAGCTCTGCTTTTAGGCTTGGCTAAATCTATATATTATTACTCTCCTGTTTTTACAGTGGACAAGATGGCAGCATCTGCAAGTCCTGCCTCTGTCACATCTCCACAGGAGGCTGGACCAGCAAACATCATCAAAATGTTTACCACATACACAAACATTCTAACAGAAGCCTCTGTTTGTAAGTATTAAAACAGTAACTGTGTTGTGTGATCCATTTCAGTGTCAATGTTAACAACTAATTAAATATGCATATATTGGAGTTAAAAAAAAAGAGGACACGTGGTGGACACAAACACGTGTGTTGCATGTTGTTAGTCTGAGCTCATTCTACCCTACTTCTAAGTGAAACCGGAGGACACTACAGGTTGAAAATCTTCATAAAGAGAAGTGTTTTTTTTTCCACTGGTGGAGTGAAACACATTAAGATTATTGAAAACCTAATTTTTGCGAATCTTGTTTCTCTTATTCCCAAGCTTTTACCTTGATTTCCAGTTTGGTGAAAAAAAAATTAAAATTATTAAATGATCTGGAGGTACTGAGAAAAAACTGTTTCAAGGAATAGTTAATGAATAGCTAAAGATATCATAATCCTCTAAACCTAATCTGCTTCCATGAGCTTTTCTGCACTAATCTTCATCCAGCAGGGACTCCACTTAATGATTAGCAACCTTTTTTAAGCTGAAGATGGTTTTCTCAAACTATACCTCTGGCACCTGGGAGCTAGTCATGTGACTGCTATTACTAACCTTTTCCCATTCAAGACATTTGTTTTATTTACACACCTTGCCCATTGCATAATTCTCTATTCTTGCACATTTATAATTTTGTCAAGTTTGTAATAAAAGTCAGGTTGTGATAGTCCACACTGAATAACTATCAGTAGTATGTGATAAATTCAAAGGGGCTCATGAACTTCATACAAGTTTGAGTAAAAATGTACTGTTTTGTTAAACTGTGTATGACTGATACAAATTCATATGTAAAGTCTGTTATTTTGTTTGGAAAGCTGATAGACTATATGTTGTTGTGGCTATAAAGAGGCAATTTCTTTCCTCATTTTCTGTTTGAAATATGTTATAGGTTAAAGCACATTTGCTTACAGTATAGTTAACTCAGAATCTTCCTTTGTGTTATTATTTAAAGCTGAAGAGAAAAAATTGAAGGCTGCACAAGAAATCAGTGAAAACTTTGAGGTTTGTACCTTTTGTTTTAATTTTTAGTCAAGTTACTAAGAAATTACACTGCTGACTGATATTAATTTCAAGTGAGGAGACTCAAAAGTGGTGAACAATAATTATTGTAAGTGCGTAACCTCGGAAGTGCCTGTAAATGTTGTGCTTTACCAAGCAATCACAGGCCAAAAATCCACCTAGTGATCACTGCTTTTTCCTGCGGCATATTTTGCCGACAGCTGATGCTTAGCGACAACCTTGAGTACCAATATGTGAATGTTTTAGAACAAGCATCAGGGCATTGCACTTATATATTCACAAGTCATAGGAGATGGTATGTTATCCATAATTAAATTTACATGAATTTATCAGAATTTTTTTAATCTGACTTCTTTAGACTATTGTCCAGTCTTCAAGTTATCCAGCTTTCTTGGAGCATTCAATACCAAGATTTGTACAGTACCTTAAAGAAGGTGAGATTCTCTTTTATTGTGAACCATTTCCTTGTGCAGAAAGCTATATTCAGCATCTTTTGCTATAAGTTTTTTTTTTTTTACAGGAGAGCCACAGTTTGTCGCTGAATTTCATTCGCAGGTATGCTGACATATTATTAGTAACCCTTTATTCCCTAACATCAGAATGTTTATATTCTCCACACTGTTCTTTATACATTTCCTATTCTGCTGGCAAGGAGAATTTTTTTCAATAAACAATTAAGAGCTACTTCACTTGGTCACTACATGATTGGACAGTGAGAATCAAGTCAAAGTTTTACAGTTTGCTCAGTTTTCACAGTAAGAGTCACAATGTACAACAAAGTAGTGAAATAGCGTTTAACAGAGTGTTCCTATACTGTTTTTTTACACCTTCTTCGTTAGCAACTTAGAAAACTTTTACTTGAGATTCTGCATCGTATACCAACCAATGACCAGCTCAGAGCTCATTTCCAGGTACGTTCTAAGTTTTTATATTACACGACTCGGGCAGTCAGAGGGCCAATAACTAAAATCAACCGATCAAAATGCTCTATTGCCGGTCAATATTCTCTTAGTATTGGACCGGGGACTGTCCCGAATGGTCCCGAATGATACTGCACTTGTGTCCCTTTGAACTTCAGTCGTATAATAAATCTCTTATTAACCAAGCTTGCTCGGGACCGTACTGGAAGAATATCGGCCCTCGGTCTTTTTTGTAAGGACCTCGCTGCGCTCGGTCTGTACTGTCAAGACCTTGGGCCGATATTCTCCCAGTACGGCCCTCGCGCTTGGTTAATAAATATATCTTATTAACCAAGCACGAGGGCCGTACTGGGAGAATATCAGCCCAAGGTCTTGACAGTACGGACCGAGCGCAGCTCGGTCCGTACAAAAAAGACCGAGGGCCGATATTCTTCCAGTACGGTCCCGAGCAAGCTTGGTTAATAAGAGATTTATTATACGACTGAAGTTTAAAGAGACACAAGTGTGGTATCATTTGGGACCATTTGGGACAGTGCCCGGTCCAATACTTAGAGAATATTGGACCGGCAATAGAGCATTTTGATTGGTCGATTTTAGTTAGTGGCCCTCTGACTGCCCGAGTCGTGTAATAAGATATATATACTTGTAGACCTTCATGGACATATGAAGATAGCATGAAAGATGTGGGAACTTTAGAGAGCACAAACTATGTGAGAGAGTTGCTCATGCAAGGCATATGTTGTAGTTAAAATTTTTCCATAGGCAATTTTTTTTTTAACTAGGTAAATATATTTTTTAACTAGGTATTTTCTATTTTAACCACGTAATTTTTACTCAGTCAACTGTCTAAAAAAGGGCCTTCATTTTCTGGGGTGTGGATGAAAAATAGGGGCCTGGTATTTTTAGGGGGTTCTTAAAAGATTGAGAGGAATTAACAAAATTAATTATGTCACTTTCACATTCCTCTCTTGGTCCCTTTTTCCTTCTATCCACCTCTACTCTTTCACTATCTCACAATTCTGCTTATTAAATAATAACTAAGTTCCATTTATATTAATACCAGTACTTCATTGAGAATAAAGAAGCATTACTTACCCTCTGCGTATTGAACCTACGACCTTCGTAGCAGATTAGATTTCCTGTCCATCACACTCTTCTCTATACCACACAGTCCTTGTTCTAAATACTCACTTTTTTCTTCCATTTATTCTTTCTTTGGTACCAGACTCACCTTGGTCAAAATTTAATTTATGCAAAACATGCATGCACATGCGCACTTGTATGAAAATGGGACTTAATCATCAAAAGCAAAGAAAGCGATGGAGGGTGTACCGTTTTGTGTCACTAAAGACACGTTTTACGAAAAGTTAGATGCTCTTAAAGGCTCCAAAAAAAGTAACAGTAAATTGACTGTCTACATAGATGATAAATTTTACGAGAATGCGAAGTACTGGCTCAAAAATGAACCCAAGAATCACGAGCAGTTCGGACTAATAAAGACAGATGTAGGGACGATTAAGGGGAAACAGTGGACCATTCAAAATGACAACATCTTGTCCAAGGACCGAAAAATTGTGG